TACCACATGGACCGTGGATCATGTGTAACTCTGCAAGCAGTGCTTCTAATCTGGGTCAGTTTGTCACCTTTGTTGTGACAGCGACCAACTACACAAGGTGCCTTGCGGCTAGAGCAACGGGTATTGGAAAGGTTCCATCAGGGGATGTAATAAGTCAATAAATATTGGTCCGTCGGAACCTGATTTCCTTATTTAATTATGCTACCAACGGTACAGGCCAGTCCAACGGGTATTGAAAAGGTTACATCAGGGGATGTAATAAGTCAATAAATGTTGGTCCGTCGGAACCGGATTTCCTTATTTAATTATGCTACCAACGGTACAGGCCAGTTTATAGAAAATATTTTAGAGAAGAAAGAAAATACAACATTTAACATTTGAAGTTTAACAAACAATAATAACAATATATTAAGCAAAACGTCCCATACCTATATAAGTAACACCAAATAAAATATGAAAGAGAAATTACATAAATAACAAGTTATAATAATCTGAATAATAAATATAAACAATAATAAGAAACAATAAGTAACAAGAACAATTAATGGCTCTATCAACCTTTAAAGTATTATAAAAAAAGGACAAAGATAAATTTTAGAACCACTATACTACTACAGATACAGCTGGTTAAAGGAGGTTCTAACTGTCATCAGAGAGTAGGAGAAAAGGTCGACAGAAACTGCCGTGTACAGCTATATTTTTGTTTCTCGATTGAATGGTCCCCCGATTGGTGTAGGTCTGTACTGGACGAACCCCCTCTTGTCAACGTGAGTAGTTTTATAGCAGGGCTTTGGGAAGTATTTTGTACAGTAACCCTTTGCAGAGTCCGAACAGAAGAAGTCAGTTTGGTGATCATTACTACATGGACCGTGGATCATGTGTAACTCTGCAAGCAATCTACTAATCTGGGTCAGTTTGTCACCTTTGTTGTCACGGCGACGAACTACACACAGTGCCTTGCGGCTAGAGCAACGGGTATTGGAAAGGTTCCATCAGGGGATTTAATGAGTTAATAAATGTTGGTCCGTCGGAACCGGATTTCCTTATTTAATTATGCTACCAACGGTACAGGCCAGTTTACAGAAAATATTTTAGAGAAGAAAGAAAATACAACAATTAAAATTTGAAGTTTAACAAACAATAATAACAATATATTAAGATATTTAAGATATTTAAGATCCCTCACATATGCTCTTGAGCATCACGACTGTAAACACTGTCCAGCCTTTCTGTCTCATTCCTTCGATTCCACCTTGATGATGATCCCAAACGCCAAAATCTTCTACCATTCTATCTCCTTTCCACTTGGGCGTGATGGATCCATCAGCTAAGTAGAATTGACACTCTGAGAACACATCATTAGATCGAGAGAATGCATTTTTGAGACCAAAGAGATCATCAAAGTCAGTTAACATATCAAGTGTTTCCTCCTTTCTCATGTTGGAGTTCCACTTCTCAAAATCGATGTTGGTCATGATTTGGACTTGGTTCTCCGCTGACTCAAATCCTAGATTTTTAGTTACATTATTCATTCGTGTCATCAAAGTACTCGGTTCAAAGCTCATTGTGATTTCAAGGAAGTATTTCAAGATGAAATGAAATTTGCAATTAAAGCTTCGGTTAGCACAATATACAATCTCCTTTTTAGGGGCATAAGTCCGAAAAGGCAAGGTTTTGTCTTACCCTCTCTCTCCTTAGGGTATACACCGCATACCCTTGTGTCCGGATGGAATCCGTGTTCCCCGATCATTCGAAGAAACTTAAGAGGGTCATTCTCATCACTCCTTAGCCACCTTATAATCACTAATCGGTCCTCCGACCTTCCGATATCCCCGTAATGTTCACACCAGTTATACTTTAAATCAGGAATGTCTAGTGATGTGGCTTTATCCGATATCATGTCCGTAAACTCGAATTTTCTAGGGACTTCAAACGTCTGGTCAAACTTCATTTTTCAACGCACCTTAACAGGCAAAGTGATGCCGAATCTTTCTGCTCGCAACTTTTTCCTTGCCTCAAGGTCAGTGATGGGTGTCTTGGTGGAGACCGTTGTAGGTTTAATGACCTAAAACAAAAAAAAAATGTAAATTTCACTTTTTTCTACAAATTTCAGACTAAAACCATCTAGATCTGTGATTGTACTGAACACTTTAGTTATGAGTCTGGCCATCATTGAATCTTCTCGTGTCCCCCAATTAATGAGCTCAAGGCTTTTCATGGAGACGCTTTGACCAACCTCCCTCCCTCATACTTTACCTTCACAGATGTCGATGATCCGAAAAAGGGCTTGAATGGCCCAATCAACTGAACTTCATACAGGAAATTTTCACTAGTGAGTGTGGTTTGGCATCGGATATACCTTAGCAGAAGTATTGGCGGAAATAGAACTCAATATGGAATCTAGATTTATCATGCCTTCGTTGTTTAATCTTCCACACCGGCTGATCCGTTTAAGAGACATAGACAGAGGGAACTCCTTTAAATATCGGGAACTCTCCATTGGTGAAATACAAGGAGGATGACCAGGACTCTTCTAATTTCAGTAGAGGGCCAATTGTGCTCAAGAAAGTTTTTAAGGATTGAAGAAAATGTTGATGTTGAATCCTGATTGGTGTAAACTCCTTTTGGTAGTATTTCAATATTAGTACCTGGTTATCTCCTTGTCCTAGAAGTTGAAATGCCATTTATGATCTCTCACATATGCTCTTGAGCATCACGACTGTAAACACTGTCCAGCCTTTCTGTCTCATTCCTTCGATTCCACCTTGATGATGATCCCAAACGCCAAAACTACTTGATTACGGGGCGAGCAGACGCCAGCTCCAAATTGATGTGGGCCTCATATTTCAACATCAGTGCAGTGTTATACGGCACTACCCGATTCGTGTAGTCACGTCCATACTGGACGAACCCCCCCCCTCTCGTAAACGTGAGTAGTTTAATAGCAGGGATTGGGGAAGTATTTTGTACAGTAACCCTTTACAGAGTCACAACAGAGGAAGTCAGTTCAGTGATGACCACATGGATCATGTGTAACTCTGCAAGCAGTGCTTCTAATCTGGGTCAGTTTGTCACCTTTGTTGTCTCAGCAACCAACTACACACAGTGCCTTGCGGCTTGAGCAGCGGGTATTGAAAAGGTTCTATCAGGGGATGTAATAAATCAATAAATGTCGGTCCGTCGGAACCTGATTTCCTTATTTAATTATGCTACCAACGGTACAGGCCAGTTTACAGAAAATATTTTAGAGAAGAAAGAAAATACAACAATTAAAATTTGAAGTTTACAATTAATAATAACAACATATTAAGCAAAACGTCTCATACCTATATAAGTAACACCAATAAAATCTGAAAGAACAATTACATACCTAAATAACAATTTATAATGATCTGAATAATAAATATAAACAACAATAAGTAACAGCACCAATAAATGGCTCTAACGACCTTTAAAGTATTATAAAAAAAGAGAAATTTTGGAACTACTATACTACTACAGATACAGCTGGTTAAAGGAGGTTCTAACTGTCATCAGAAAGTTGGAGAAAGTGTCGACAAAAACTGTCGTGTACAGTTATATTTTTGTTTCTCGATTGAATGGTTCCCGATTGGTATAATCACGTCTGTACTGGACGAACACCCTCTCGTCAACGTGAGTAGTTTCATAGTAGGGCTTGGGGAAGTATTTTGTACAGTAACCCTTTGCAGAGTCCCAACAAAGGAAGTCAGTTCTGTGATCATTACCACATGGACCGTGGATCATGTGTAACTCTGCAAGCAGTGCTTCTAATCTGGGTCAGTTTGTCACCTTTGTTGTGACAGCGACCAACTACACAAGGTGCCTTGCGGCTAGAGCAACGGGTATTGGAAAGGTTCCATCAGGGGATGTAATAAGTCAATAAATATTGGTCCGTCGGAACCTGATTTCCTTATTTAATTATGCTACCAACGGTACAGGCCAGTCCAACGGGTATTGAAAAGGTTACATCAGGGGATGTAATAAGTCAATAAATGTTGGTCCGTCGGAACCGGATTTCCTTATTTAATTATGCTACCAACGGTACAGGCCAGTTTATAGAAAATATTTTAGAGAAGAAAGAAAATACAACATTTAACATTTGAAGTTTAACAAACAATAATAACAATATATTAAGCAAAACGTCCCATACCTATATAAGTAACACCAAATAAAATATGAAAGAGAAATTACATAAATAACAAGTTATAATAATCTGAATAATAAATATAAACAATAATAAGAAACAATAAGTAACAAGAACAATTAATGGCTCTATCAACCTTTAAAGTATTATAAAAAAAGGACAAAGATAAATTTTAGAACCACTATACAGCCACAGATACAGCTTGTTAAAGGAGGTTCTAACTGTCATCAGAGAGTAGGAGAAAAGGTCGACAGAAACTGCCGTGTACAGCTATATTTTTGTTTCTCGATTGAATGGTCCCCCGATTGGTGTAGGTCTGTACTGGACGAACCCCCTCTTGTCAACGTGAGTAGTTTTATAGCAGGGCTTTGGGAAGTATTTTGTACAGTAACCCTTTGCAGAGTCCGAACAGAAGAAGTCAGTTTGGTGATCATTACTACATGGACCGTGGATCATGTGTAACTCTGCAAGCAATCTACTAATCTGGGTCAGTTTGTCACCTTTGTTGTCACGGCGACGAACTACACACAGTGCCTTGCGGCTAGAGCAACGGGTATTGGAAAGGTTCCATCAGGGGATTTAATGAGTTAATAAATGTTGGTCCGTCGGAACCGGATTTCCTTATTTAATTATGCTACCAACGGTACAGGCCAGTTTACAGAAAATATTTTAGAGAAGAAAGAAAATACAACAATTAAAATTTGAAGTTTAACAAACAATAATAACAATATATTAAGATATTTAAGACATTTAAGATCCCTCACATATGCTCTTGAGCATCACGACTGTAAACACTGTCCAGCCTTTCTGTCTCATTCCTTCGATTCCACCTTGATGATGATCCCAAACGCCAAAATCTTCTACCATTCTATCTCCTTTCCACTTGGGCGTGATGGATCCATCAGCTAAGTAGAATTGACACTCTGAGAACACATCATTAGATCGAGAGAATGCATTTTTGAGACCAAAGAGATCATCAAAGTCAGTTAACATATCAAGTGTTTCCTCCTTTCTCATGTTGGAGTTCCACTTCTCAAAATCGATGTTGGTCATGATTTGGACTTGGTTCTCCGCTGACTCAAATCCTAGATTTTTAGTTACATTATTCATTCGTGTCATCAAAGTACTCGGTTCAAAGCTCATTGTGATTTCAAGGAAGTATTTCAAGATGAAATGAAATTTGCAATTAAAGCTTCGGTTAGCACAATATACAATCTCCTTTTTAGGGGCATAAGTCCGAAAAGGCAAGGTTTTGTCTTACCCTCTCTCTCCTTAGGGTATACACCGCATACCCTTGTGTCCGGATGGAATCCGTGTTCCCCGATCATTCGAAGAAACTTAAGAGGGTCATTCTCATCACTCCTTAGCCACCTTATAATCACTAATCGGTCCTCCGACCTTCCGATATCCCCGTAATGTTCACACCAGTTATACTTTAAATCAGGAATGTCTAGTGATGTGGCTTTATCCGATATCATGTCCGTAAACTCGAATTTTCTAGGGACTTCAAACGTCTGGTCAAACTTCATTTTTCAACGCACCTTAACAGGCAAAGTGATGCCGAATCTTTCTGCTCGCAACTTTTTCCTTGCCTCAAGGTCAGTGATGGGTGTCTTGGTGGAGACCGTTGTAGGTTTAATGACCTAAAACAAAAAAAAAATGTAAATTTCACTTTTTTCTACAAATTTCAGACTAAAACCATCTAGATCTGTGATTGTACTGAACACTTTAGTTATGAGTCTGGCCATCATTGAATCTTCTCGTGTCCCCCAATTAATGAGCTCAAGGCTTTTCATGGAGACGCTTTGACCAACCTCCCTCCCTCATACTTTACCTTCACAGATGTCGATGATCCGAAAAAGGGCTTGAATGGCCCAATCAACTGAACTTCATACAGGAAATTTTCACTAGTGAGTGTGGTTTGGCATCGGATATACCTTAGCAGAAGTATTGGCGGAAATAGAACTCAATATGGAATCTAGATTTATCATGCCTTCGTTGTTTAATCTTCCACACCGGCTGATCCGTTTAAGAGACATAGACAGAGGGAACTCCTTTAAATATCGGGAACTCTCCATTGGTGAAATACAAGGAGGATGACCAGGACTCTTCTAATTTCAGTAGAGGGCCAATTGTGCTCAAGAAAGTTTTTAAGGATTGAAGAAAATGTTGATGTTGAATCCTGATTGGTGTAAACTCCTTTTGGTAGTATTTCAATATTAGTACCTGGTTATCTCCTTGTCCTAGAAGTTGAAATGCCATTTATGATCTCTCACATATGCTCTTGAGCATCACGACTGTAAACACTGTCCAGCCTTTCTGTCTCATTCCTTCGATTCCACCTTGATGATGATCCCAAACGCCAAAACTACTTGATTACGGGGCGAGCAGACGCCAGCTCCAAATTGATGTGGGCCTCATATTTCAACATCAGTGCAGTGTTATACGGCACTACCCGATTCGTGTAGTCACGTCCATACTGGACGAACCCCCCCCCCTCTCGTAAACGTGAGTAGTTTAATAGCAGGGATTGGGGAAGTATTTTGTACAGTAACCCTTTACAGAGTCACAACAGAGGAAGTCAGTTCAGTGATGACCACATGGATCATGTGTAACTCTGCAAGCAGTGCTTCTAATCTGGGTCAGTTTGTCACCTTTGTTGTCTCAGCAACCAACTACACACAGTGCCTTGCGGCTTGAGCAGCGGGTATTGAAAAGGTTCTATCAGGGGATGTAATAAATCAATAAATGTCGGTCCGTCGGAACCTGATTTCCTTATTTAATTATGCTACCAACGGTACAGGCCAGTTTACAGAAAATATTTTAGAGAAGAAAGAAAATACAACAATTAAAATTTGAAGTTTACAATTAATAATAACAACATATTAAGCAAAACGTCTCATACCTATATAAGTAACACCAATAAAATCTGAAAGAACAATTACATACCTAAATAACAATTTATAATGATCTGAATAATAAATATAAACAACAATAAGTAACAGCATCAATAAATGGCTCTAACGACCTTTAAAGTATTATAAAAAAAAAGAAATTTTGGAACTACTATACTACTACAGATACAGCTGGTTAAAGGAGGTTCTAACTGTCATCAGAAAGTTGGAGAAAGTGTCGACAAAAACTGTCGTGTACAGTTATATTTTTGTTTCTCGATTGAATGGTTCCCGATTGGTATAATCACGTCTGTACTGGACGAACACCCTCTCGTCAACGTGAGTAGTTTCATAGTAGGGCTTGGGGAAGTATTTTGTACAGTAACCCTTTGCAGAGTCCCAACAAAGGAAGTCAGTTCTGTGATCATTACCACATGGACCGTGGATCATGTGTAACTCTGCAAGCAGTGCTTCTAATCTGGGTCAGTTTGTCACCTTTGTTGTGACAGCGACCAACTACACAAGGTGCCTTGCGGCTAGAGCAACGGGTATTGGAAAGGTTCCATCAGGGGATGTAATAAGTCAATAAATATTGGTCCGTCGGAACCTGATTTCCTTATTTAATTATGCTACCAACGGTACAGGCCAGTCCAACGGGTATTGAAAAGGTTACATCAGGGGATGTAATAAGTCAATAAATGTTGGTCCGTCGGAACCGGATTTCCTTATTTAATTATGCTACCAACGGTACAGGCCAGTTTATAGAAAATATTTTAGAGAAGAAAGAAAATACAACATTTAACATTTGAAGTTTAACAAACAATAATAACAATATATTAAGCAAAACGTCCCATACCTATATAAGTAACACCAAATAAAATATGAAAGAGAAATTACATAAATAACAAGTTATAATAATCTGAATAATAAATATAAACAATAATAAGAAACAATAAGTAACAAGAACAATTAATGGCTCTATCAACCTTTAAAGTATTATAAAAAAAGGACAAAGATAAATTTTAGAACCACTATACTACTACAGATACAGCTGGTTAAAGGAGGTTCTAACTGTCATCAGAGAGTAGGAGAAAAGGTCGACAGAAACTGCCGTGTACAGCTATATTTTTGTTTCTCGATTGAATGGTCCCCCGATTGGTGTAGGTCTGTACTGGACGAACCCCCTCTTGTCAACGTGAGTAGTTTTATAGCAGGGCTTTGGGAAGTATTTTGTACAGTAACCCTTTGCAGAGTCCGAACAGAAGAAGTCAGTTTGGTGATCATTACTACATGGACCGTGGATCATGTGTAACTCTGCAAGCAATCTACTAATCTGGGTCAGTTTGTCACCTTTGTTGTCACGGCGACAAACTACACACAGTGCCTTGCGGCTAGAGCAACGGGTATTGGAAAGGTTCCATCAGGGGATTTAATGAGTTAATAAATGTTGGTCCGTCGGAACCGGATTTCCTTATTTAATTATGCTACCAACGGTACAGGCCAGTTTACAGAAAATATTTTAGAGAAGAAAGAAAATACAACAATTAAAATTTGAAGTTTAACAAACAATAATAACAATATATTAAGATATTTAAGACATTTAAGATCCCTCACATATGCTCTTGAGCATCACGACTGTAAACACTGTCCAGCCTTTCTGTCTCATTCCTTCGATTCCACCTTGATGATGATCCCAAACGCCAAAATCTTCTACCATTCTATCTCCTTTCCACTTGGGCGTGATGGATCCATCAGCTAAGTAGAATTGACACTCTGAGAACACATCATTAGATCGAGAGAATGCATTTTTGAGACCAAAGAGATCATCAAAGTCAGTTAACATATCAAGTGTTTCCTCCTTTCTCATGTTGGAGTTCCACTTCTCAAAATCGATGTTGGTCATGATTTGGACTTGGTTCTCCGCTGACTCAAATCCTAGATTTTTAGTTACATTATTCATTCGTGTCATCAAAGTACTCGGTTCAAAGCTCATTGTGATTTCAAGGAAGTATTTCAAGATGAAATGAAATTTGCAATTAAAGCTTCGGTTAGCACAATATACAATCTCCTTTTTAGGGGCATAAGTCCGAAAAGGCAAGGTTTTGTCTTACCCTCTCTCTCCTTAGGGTATACACCGCATACCCTTGTGTCCGGATGGAATCCGTGTTCCCCGATCATTCGAAGAAACTTAAGAGGGTCATTCTCATCACTCCTTAGCCACCTTATAATCACTAATCGGTCCTCCGACCTTCCGATATCCCCGTAATGTTCACACCAGTTATACTTTAAATCAGGAATGTCTAGTGATGTGGCTTTATCCGATATCATGTCCGTAAACTCGAATTTTCTAGGGACTTCAAACGTCTGGTCAAACTTCATTTTTCAACGCACCTTAACAGGCAAAGTGATGCCGAATCTTTCTGCTCGCAACTTTTTCCTTGCCTCAAGGTCAGTGATGGGTGTCTTGGTGGAGACCGTTGTAGGTTTAATGACCTAAAACAAAAAAAAAATGTAAATTTCACTTTTTTCTACAAATTTCAGACTAAAACCATCTAGATCTGTGATTGTACTGAACACTTTAGTTATGAGTCTGGCCATCATTGAATCTTCTCGTGTCCCCCAATTAATGAGCTCAAGGCTTTTCATGGAGACGCTTTGACCAACCTCCCTCCCTCATACTTTACCTTCACAGATGTCGATGATCCGAAAAAGGGCTTGAATGGCCCAATCAACTGAACTTCATACAGGAAATTTTCACTAGTGAGTGTGGTTTGGCATCGGATATACCTTAGCAGAAGTATTGGCGGAAATAGAACTCAATATGGAATCTAGATTTATCATGCCTTCGTTGTTTAATCTTCCACACCGGCTGATCCGTTTAAGAGACATAGACAGAGGGAACTCCTTTAAATATCGGGAACTCTCCATTGGTGAAATACAAGGAGGATGACCAGGACTCTTCTAATTTCAGTAGAGGGCCAATTGTGCTCAAGAAAGTTTTTAAGGATTGAAGAAAATGTTGATGTTGAATCCTGATTGGTGTAAACTCCTTTTGGTAGTATTTCAATATTAGTACCTGGTTATCTCCTTGTCCTAGAAGTTGAAATGCCATTTATGATCTCTCACATATGCTCTTGAGCATCACGACTGTAAACACTGTCCAGCCTTTCTGTCTCATTCCTTCGATTCCACCTTGATGATGATCCCAAACGCCAAAACTACTTGATTACGGGGCGAGCAGACGCCAGCTCCAAATTGATGTGGGCCTCATATTTCAACATCAGTGCAGTGTTATACGGCACTACCCGATTCGTGTAGTCACGTCCATACTGGACGAACCCCCCCCCTCTCGTAAACGTGAGTAGTTTAATAGCAGGGATTGGGGAAGTATTTTGTACAGTAACCCTTTACAGAGTCACAACAGAGGAAGTCAGTTCAGTGATGACCACATGGACCGTGGATCATGTGTAACTCTGCAAGCAGTGCTTCTAATCTGGGTCAGTTTGTCACCTTTGTTGTCTCAGCAACCAACTACACACAGTGCCTTGCGGCTAGAGCAGCGGGTATTGAAAAGGTTCTATCAGGGGATGTAATAAATCAATAAATGTCGGTCCGTCGGAACCTGATTTCCTTATTTAATTATGCTACCAACGGTACAGGCCAGTTTACAGAAAATATTTTAGAGAAGAAAGAAAATACAACAATTAAAATTTGAAGTTTACAATTAATAATAACAACATATTAAGCAAAACGTCTCATACCTATATAAGTAACACCAATAAAATCTGAAAGAACAATTACATACCTAAATAACAATTTATAATGATCTGAATAATAAATATAAACAACAATAAGTAACAGCACCAATAAATGGCTCTAACGACCTTTAAAGTATTATAAAAAAAGAGAAATTTTGGAACTACTATACTACTACAGATACAGCTGGTTAAAGGAGGTTCTAACTGTCATCAGAAAGTTGGAGAAAGTGTCGACAAAAACTGTCGTGTACAGTTATATTTTTGTTTCTCGATTGAATGGTTCCCGATTGGTATAATCACGTCTGTACTGGACGAACACCCTCTCGTCAACGTGAGTAGTTTCATAGTAGGGCTTGGGGAAGTATTTTGTACAGTAACCCTTTGCAGAGTCCCAACAAAGGAAGTCAGTTCTGTGATCATTACCACATGGACCGTGGATCATGTGTAACTCTGCAAGCAGTGCTTCTAATCTGGGTCAGTTTGTCACCTTTGTTGTGACAGCGACCAACACACAGTGCCTTGCGGCTAGAGCAACGGGTATTGAAAAGGTTCCATCAGGGGATGTAATAAGTCAATAAATGTTGGTCCGTCGGAACCGGATTTCCTTATATAATTATGCTACAACGGTACAGGCCAGTTTACAGAAAATATTTTAGAGAAGAAAGAAAATACAACAATTAAAATTTGAAGTTTAACAAACAATAATAACAATATACTAAGCAAAACGTCCCATACCTATATAAGTAACACCAATAAAATCTGATAAGTAACACCAATAAAATCTGAAAGAGCAATTACATAAATAACAAGTTATAATGATCTGAATAAAAAATATAAACAATAATAAAAAACAATAAGTAACAAGAACAATGAATGGCTCTATCAACCTTTAAAGTATTATAAAAAAGAAGGACAAAGACAAACTTTAGAACTACTATACTACTACAGATACAGCTGGTTAAAGGAGGTACTAACTGTCATCAGAGAGTCGGAGAAATAGTCGACAGAAACTGCCGTGTACAGCTTTATTTTTGTTTCTCTATTGAATGGTCCCCCGATTGGTGTAGTCACGTCTGTACTGGACGAACCCCCTCTAGTCAACGTGAGTAGTTTCATAGCAGGGCTTGGGGAAGTATTTTGTACAGTAACCCATTGCAGAGTCCGAACAGAGGAAGTCAGTTCTGTGATCATTACTACATGGACCGTGGATCATGTTCAACTCTGCAAGCAGTGCTACTAATCTGGGTCAGTTTGTCACCTTTGTTGTCACAGCGACCAACTACACACAGTGCCTTGCGGCTAGAGCAACGGGTATTGGAAAGGTTCCATCAGGGGATGTAATAAGTCAATAAATGTTGGCCCGTCGGAACCGGATTTCCTTATTTAATTATGCTACAACGGTACAGGCCAGTTTACAGAAAATATTTTAGAGAAGAAATAAAATGCAACAATTAAAATTTGAAGTTTAACAAACAATAATAACAATATATTAAGCAAAACGTCCCATACCTATATAAGTAACACCAATAAAATCTGAAAGAAAAATTACATAAATAACAAGTTATAATGATCTGAATAATAAATATAAACAACAATAAGAAAGAATAAGTAACAACAACAATAAATGGCTCTAACAACTTTTTAAGTATTATAAAATAAGTCGGACAAAGATAAATTTTGGAAAACTACTATATTACTACAGATACGGCTGGTTAAAGGAGATTCTAACTGTCCTCAGAGAGTCGAACAGAGGAGGTCAGTTCTGTGATCATTACTACATGGACTGTGGATCATGTGTTACTCTGCAAGCAGTGCTACTAATCTGGGTCAGTTTGTCAACTTTGTTGTCACAGGGACCAACTACACACAGTGCCTTGCGGCTAGAGCAACGGGTATTGAAAAGGTTCCATCAGGGGATGTAATAAGTTAATAAATGTTGGTCCTTCGGAACCGGATTTCCTTATTTAATTATGTTACCAACGGTACAGGCCAGTCCAACGGGTATTGAAAAGGTTACATCAGGGGATGTAATAAGTCAATAAATGTCAGTTCTGTGATCATTACTACATGGACCGTGGATCATGTGTAACTCTGCAAGCAGTGCTACTAATCTGGGTCAGTTTGTCACCTTTGTTGTCACAGCGACCAACTACACAAGGTGCCTTGCGGCTAGAGCAACGGGTATTGGAAAGGTTCCATCAGGGGATGTAATAAGTCAATAAACGTTGGTCCGTCGGAACCTGATTTCCTTATTTAATTATGCTACCAACGGCACAGGCCAGTCCAACGGGTATTGAAAAGGTTCCATCAGGGGATGTAATAAGTCAATAAATGTTGGTCCGTCAGAACCGGATTTCCTTATTTAATTATGCTACAACGCTACAGGCCAGTTTACAGAAAATATTTTAGAGAAGAAAGAAAATACAACAATTAAAATTTGAAGTTTAACAAACAATAATAACAATATAATAAGCAAAACGTCCCATACCTATATAAGTAACACCAATAAAATCTGAAAGAGAAATTACATAAATAACAAGTTATAATAATCTGAATAATAAATATAAACAATAATAAGAAACAATAAGTAACAAGAACAATTAATGGTTCTATCAACCTTTAAAGTATTATAAAAAAAGAAGGATAAAGATAAATTTTAGAACTACTATACTACATATACAGCTGGTTAAAGGAGGTTCTAACTGTCATCAGAGAGTCGGAGAAAGGGTCGACAGAAACTGCCGTGTACAGTTTTTTTTTTTTTCTCGATTGAATGGTCCCTTGATTGGTGTAGTCACGTCTGTACTGGACGAATCCCCCCTCGTCAACGTGAGTAGTTTCATAGCGGGGCTTGGAGAAGTATTTTGTTCAGTAACCCTTTGCAGAGTCCCAACAAAGGAAGTCAGTTTGGTGATCATTACTACATGGACCGTGGATCATGTGTAACTCTGCAAGCAGTGCTACTAATCTGGGTCAGTTTGTCAACTTTGTTGTCACAGGGACCAACTACACACAGTGCCTTGCGGCTAGAGCAACGGGTATTGAAAAGGTTCCATCAGGGGATATAAGTCAATAAATGTTGGTCCCTCGGAACCGGATTTCCTTATTTAATTAATGTACCAACGGTACAGGCCAGTCCAACGGGTATTGAAAAGGTTCCATCAGGGGATGTAATAAGTCAATAAATGTCAGTTCTGTGATCATTACTACATGGACCGTGGATCATGTGTAACTCTGCAAGCAGTGCTACTAATCTGGGTCAGTTTGTCACCTTTGTTGTCACAGCGACCAACTACACAAGGTGCCTTGCGGCTAGAGCAACGGGTATTGGAAAGGTTCCATCAGGGGATGTAATAAGTCAATAAATATTGGTCCGTCGGAACCTGATTTCCTTATTTAATTATGCTACCAACGGTACAGGCCAGTCCAACGGGTATTGAAAAGGTTACATCAGGGGATGTAATAAGTCAATAAATGTTGGTCCGTCGGAACCGGATTTCCTTATTTAATTATGCTACCAACGGTACAGGCCAGTTTACAGAAAATATTTTAGAGAAGAAAGAAAATACAACATTTAACATTTGAAGTTTAACAAACAATAATAACAATATATTAAGCAAAACGTCCCATACCTATATAAGTAACACCAATAAAATCTGAAAGAAAAATTACATAAATAACAAGTTATAATGATCTGAATAATAAATATAAACAACAATAAGAAAGAATAAGTAACAACAACAATAAATGGCTCTAACAACTTTTTAAGTATTATAAAATAAGTCGGACAAAGATAAATTTTGGAAAACTACTATATTACTACAGATACGGCTGGTTAAAGGAGATTCTAACTGTCCTCAGAGAGTCGAACAGAGGAGGTCAGTTCTGTGATCATTACTACATGGACCGTGGATCATGTGTAACTCTGCAAGCAGTGCTACTAATCTGGGTCAGTTTGTCAACTTTGTTGTCACAGGGACCAACTACACACAGTGCCTTGCGGCTAGAGCAACGGGTATTGAAAAGGTTCCATCAGGGGATATAAGTCAATAAATGTTGGTCCCTCGGAACCGGATTTCCTTATTTAATTAATGTACCAACGGTACAGGCCAGTCCAACGGGTATTGAAAAGGTTCCATCAGGGGATGTAATAAGTCAATAAATGTCAGTTCTGTGATCATTACTACATGGACCGTGGATCATGTGTAACTCTGCAAGCAGTGCTACTAATCTGGCTCAGTTTGTCACCTTTGTTGTCACAGCGACCAACTACACAAGGTGCCTTGCGGCTAGAGCAACGGGTATTGGAAAGGTTCCATCAGGGGATGTAATAAGTCAATAAATATTGGTCCGTCGGAACCTGATTTCCTTATTTAATTATGCTACCAACGGTACAGGCCAGTCCAACGGGTATTGAAAAGGTTACATCAGGGGATGTAATAAGTCAATAAATGTTGGTCCGTCGGAACCGGATTTCCTTATTTAATTATGCTACCAACGGTACAGGCCAAATTACAGAAAATATTTTAGAGAAGAAAGAAAATACAACATTTAACATTTGAAGTTTAACAAACAATAATAACAATATATTAAGCAAAACGTCCCATACCTATATAAGTAACACCAATAAAATCTGAAAGAAAAATTACATAAATAACAAGTTATAATGATCTGAATAATAAATATAAACAACAATAAGAAAGAATAAGTAACAACAACAATAAATGGCTCTAACAACTTTTTAAGTATTATAAAATAAGTCGGACAAAGATAAATTTTGGAAAACTACTATATTACTACAGATACGGCTGGTTAAAGGAGATTCTAACTGTCCTCAGAGAGTCGAACAGAGGAGGTCAGTTCTGTGATCATTACTACATGGACTGTGGATCATGTGTTACTCTGCAAGCAGTGCTACTAATCTGGGTCAGTTTGTCAACTTTGTTGTCACAGGGACCAACTACACACAGTGCCTTGCGGCTAGAGCAACGGGTATTGAAAAGGTTCCATCAGGGGATGTAATAAGTTAATAAATGTTGGTCCGTCGGAACCGGATTTCCTTATTTAATTATGTTACCAACGGTACAGGCCAGTCCAACGGGTATTGAAAAGGTTACATCAGGGGATGTAATAAGTCAATAAATGTCAGTTCTGTGATCATTACTACATGGACCGTGGATCATGTGTAACTCTGCAAGCAGTGCTACTAATCTGGGTCAGTTTGTCACCTTTGTTGTCACAGCGACCAACTACACAAGGTGCCTTGCGGCTAGAGCAACGGGTATTGGAAAGGTTCCATCAGGGGATGTAAGTCAATAAACGTTGGTCCGTCGGAACCTGATTTCCTTATTTAATTATGCTACCAACGGCACAGGCCAGTCCAACGGGTATTGAAAAGGTTCCATCAGGGGATGTAATAAGTCAATAAATGTTGGTCCGTCAGAACCGGATTTCCTTATTTAATTATGCTACAACGCTACAGGCCAGTTTACAGAAAATATTTTAGAGAAGAAAGAAAATACAACAATTAAAATTTGAAGTTTAACAAACAATAATAACAATATAATAAGCAAAACGTCCCATACCTATATAAGTAACACCAATAAAATCTGAAAGAGAAATTACATAAATAACAAGTTATAATAATCTGAATAATAAATATAAACAATAATAAGAAACAATAAGTAACAAGAACAATTAATGGTTCTATCAACCTTTAAAGTATTATAAAAAAAGAAGGATAAAGATAAATTTTAGAACTACTATACTACATATACAGCTGGTTAAAGGAGGTTCTAACTGTCATCAGAGAGTCGGAGAAATGGTCGACAGAAACTGCCGTGTACAGTTTTTTTTTGTTTCTCGATTGAATGGTCCCTTGATTGGTGTAGTCACGTCTGTACTGGACGAATCCCCCCTCGTCAACGTGAGTAGTTTCATAGCGGGGCTTGGAGAAGTATTTTGTTCAGTAACCCTTTGCAGAGTCCCAACAAAGGAAGTCAGTTTGGTGATCATTACTACATGGACCGTGGATCATGTGTAACTCTGCAAGCAGTGCTACTAATCTGGGTCAGTTTGTCAACTTTGTTGTCACAGGGACCAACTACACACAGTGCCTTGCGGCTAGAGCAACGGGTATTGAAAAGGTTCCATCAGGGGATATAAGTCAATAAATGTTGGTCCCTCGGAACCGGATTTCCTTATTTAATTAATGTACCAACGGTACAGGCCAGTCCAACGGGTATTGAAAAGGTTCCATCAGGGGATGTAATAAGTCAATAAATGTTGGTCCGTCGGAACCTGATTTCCTTATTTAATTAATGTACCAACGGTACAGGCCAGTCCAACGGGTATTGAAAAGGTTCCATCAGGGGATGTAATAAGTCAATAAATGTCAGTTCTGTGATCATTACTACATGGACCGTGGATCATGTGTAACTCTGCAAGCAGTGCTACTAATCTGGGTCAGTTTGTCACCTTTGTTGTCACAGCGACCAACTACACAAGGTGCCTTGCGGCTAGAGCAACGGGTATTGGAAAGGTTCCATCAGGGGATGTAATAAGTCAATAAATATTGGTCCGTCGGAACCTGATTTCCTTATTTAATTATGCTACCAACGGTACAGGCCAGTTTACAGAAAATATTTTAGAGAAGAAAGAAAATACAACATTTAACATTTGAAGTTTAACAAACAATAATAACAATATATTAAGCAAAACGTCCCATACCTATATAAGTAACACCAAATAAAATATGAAAGAGAAATTACATAAATAACAAGTTATAATAATCTGAATAATAAATATAAACAATAATAAGAAACAATAAGTAACAAGAACAATTAATGGCTCTATCAACCTTTAAAGTATTATAAAAAAAGGACAAAGATAAATTTTAGAACCACTATACTACTACAGATACAGCTGGTTAAAGGAGGTTCTAACTGTCATCAGAGAGTAGGAGAAAAGGTCGACAGAAACTGCCGTGTACAGCTATGTTTTTGTTTCTCGATTGAATGGTCCCCCGATTGGTGTAGGTCTGTACTGGACGAACCCCCTCTTGTCAACGTGAGTAGTTTTATAGCAGGGCTTTGGGAATTATTTTGTACAGTAACCCTTTGCAGAGTCCGAACAGAAGAAGTCAGTTTGGTGATCATTACTACATGGACCGTGGATCATGTGTAACTCTGCAAGCAATCTACTAATCTGGGTCAGTTTGTCACCTTTGTTGTCACGGCGACAAACTACACACAGTGCCTTGCGGCTAGAGCAACGGGTATTGGAAAGGTTCCATCAGGGGATTTAATGAGTTAATAAATGTTGGTCCGTCGGAACCGGATTTCCTTATTTAATTATGCTACCAACGGTACAGGCCAGTTTACAGAAAATATTTTAGAGAAGAAAGAAAATACAACAATTAAAATTTGAAGTTTAACAAACAATAATAACAATATATTAAGATATTTTAAACATTTAAGATCCCTCACATATGCTCTTGAGCATCACGACTGTAAACACTGTCCAGCCTTTCTGTCTCATTCCTTCGATTCCACCTTGATGATGATCCCAAACGCCAAAATCTTCTACCATTCTATCTCCTTTCCACTTGGGCGTGATGGATCCATCAGCTAAGTAGAATTGACACTCTGAGAACACATCATTAGATCGAGAGAATGCATTTTTGAGACCAAAGAGATCATCAAAGTCAGTTAACATATCAAGTGTTTCCTCCTTTCTCATGTTGGAGTTCCACTTCTCAAAATCGATGTTGGTCATGATTTGGACTTGGTTCTCCGCTGACTCAAATCCTAGATTTTTAGTTACATTATTCATTCGTGTCATCAAAGTACTCGGTTCAAAGCTCATTGTGATTTCAAGGAAGTATTTCAAGATGAAATGAAATTTGCAATTAAAGCTTCGGTTAGCACAATATACAATCTCCTTTTTAGGGGCATAAGTCCGAAAAGGCAAGGTTTTGTCTTACCCTCTCTCTCCTTAGGGTATACACCGCATACCCTTGTGTCCGGATGGAATCCGTGTTCCCCGATCATTCGAAGAAACTTAAGAGGGTCATTCTCATCACTCCTTAGCCACCTTATAATCACTAATCGGTCCTCCGACCTTCCGATATCCCCGTAATGTTCACACCAGTTATACTTTAAATCAGGAATGTCTAGTGATGTGGCTTTATCCGATATCATGTCCGTAAACTCGAATTTTCTAGGGACTTCAAACGTCTGGTCAAACTTCATTTTTCAACGCACCTTAATAGGCAAAGTGATGCCGAATCTTTCTGCTCGCAACTTTTTCCTTGCCTCAAGGTCAGTGCTGGGTGTCTTGGTGGAGACCGTTGTAGGTTTAATGACCTAAAACAAAAAAAATGTAAATTTCACTTTTTTCTACAAATTTCAGACTAAAACCATCTAGATCTGTGATTGTACTGAACACTTCAGTTATGAGTCTGGCCATCATTGAATCTTCTCGTGTCCCCCAATTAATGCGCTCAAGGCTTTTCATGGAGACGCTTTGACCAACCTCCCTCCCTCATACTTTACCTTCACAGATGTCGATGATCCGAAAAAGGGCTTGAATGGCCCAATCAACTGAACTTCATACAGGAAATTTTCACTAGTGAGTGTGGTTTGGCATCGGATATACCTTAGCAGAAGTATTGGCGGAAATAGAACTCAATATGGAATCTAGATTTATCATGCCTTCGTTGTTTAATCTTCCACACCGGCTGATCCGTTTAAGAGACATAGACAGAGGGAACTCCTTTAAATATCGGGAATTCTCCATTGGTGAAATACAAGGAGGATGACCAGGACTCTTCTAATTTCAGTAGAGGGCCAATTGTGCTCAAGAAAGTTTTTAAGGATTGAAGAAAATGTTGATGTTGAATCCTGATTGGTGTAAACTCCTTTTGGTAGTATTTCAATATTAGTACCTGGTTATCTCCTTGTCCTAGAAGTTGAAATGCCATTTATGATCTCTCACATATGCTCTTGAGCATCACGACTGTAAACACTGTCCAGCCTTTCTGTCTCATTCCTTCGATTCCACCTTGATAATGATCCCAAACGCCAAAACTACTTGATTACGGGGCGAGCAGACGCCAGCTCCAAATTGATGTGGGCCTCATATTTGAACATCAGTGCAGTGTTATACGGCACTACCCGATTCGTGTAGTCACGTCCATACTGGACGAACCCCCTCTCGTAAACGTGAGTAGTTTAATAGCAGGGATTGGGGAAGTATTTTGTACAGTAACCCTTTACAGAGTCACAACAGAGGAAGTCAGTTCAGTGATGACCACATGGACCGTGGATCATGTGTAACTCTGCAAGCAGTGCTTCTAATCTGGGTCAGTTTGTCACCTTTGTTGTCTCAGCAACCAACTACACACAGTGCCTTGCGGCTAGAGCAGCGGGTATTGAAAAGGTTCTATCAGGGGATGTAATAAATCAATAAATGTCGGTCCGTCGGAACCTGATTTCCTTATTTAATTATGCTACCAACGGTACAGGCCAGTTTACAGAATATATTTTAGAGAAGAAAGAAAATACAACAATTAAAATTTGAAGTTTACAATTAATAATAACAACGTATTAAGCAAAACGTCTCATACCTATATAAGTAACACCAATAAAATCTGAAAGAACAATTACATACCTAAATAACAATTTATAATGATCTGAATAATAAATATAAACAACAATAAGTAACAGCACCAATAAATGGCTCTAACGACCTTTAAAGTATTATAAAAAAAGAGAAATTTTGGAACTACTATACTACTACAGATACAGCTGGTTAAAGGAGGTTCTAACTGTCATCAGAAAGTTGGAGAAAGTGTCGACAAAAACTGTCGTGTACAGTTATATTTTTGTTTCTCGATTGAATGGTTCCCGATTGGTATAATCACGTCTGTACTGGACGAACACCCTCTCGTCAACGTGAGTAGTTTCATAGTAGGGCTTGGGGAAGTATTTTGTACAGTAACCCTTTGCAGAGTCCCAACAAAGGAAGTCAGTTCTGTGATCATTACCACATGGACCGTGGATCATGTGTAACTCTGCAAGCAGTGCTACTAATCTGGGTCAGTTTGTCACCTTTGTTGTGACAGCGACCAACACACAGTGCCTTGCGGCTAGAGCAACGGGTATTGAAAAGGTTCCATCAGGGGATGTAATAAGTCAATAAATGTTAATCCGTCGGAACCGGATTTCCTTATTTAATTATGCTACCAACGGTACAGGCCAGTTTGCAGAACATATTTAAGAGAAGAATGAAAATACGACAATTAAAATTTAAAGTTTAACAAACAATAATAACAATTTATTAAGCAAACCGTCTCATACCTATATAAGTAACACCAATAAAATCTGAAAGAACAATTACATAAATAAAAATTGTTTAATGATCTGAATAATAAATATAAACAACAATAAGGAACAATAAGTAACAACAACAATAAATGGCTCTAACAACCTTCAAAATATTGCAAACAACCAAGAGGGACAAAGAGAAATTTAGGAACTACTATACTACTACAGATACAGCTGGTTGAAGGAGCTTCTAACTAACATCAGAAAGTCGGAGAAGAAGTAGAATTTTCCTTCTGATGTTATTAATATTTAAGTTGGTTTCCAGTTCCTTGATGGGCGTGGAACGATAATCATAACCAATTCGGGTCCCCAGCAACCTGATAACACGTACCTGGACTCTCTTCAACATGTTGATATTCCCAAGTTGATAAGGTGACCATACCACTGAGCTATATTCCATTTTTGGTCGAACAAGAGTTTTATATAAGACTACTAGAGTTCGAGGTGATTGAAAGTGTCTTGTAGATCTTCGTTTGAAGCCAAGAATCTGATATGCTCTATTAGTGGTCGTGATTATATGATCGATTGGATTTAACGAGTGGGTCAAGATAATTCCCAGATCTCTGATCCGTTCTACTCTGTCTAAAACTTCATATTGTAAGTCTCCGGGGTTCAACATCGTTCTCATCATTGCTGAGCACGGCGTGCACCTCAACGCCTGTTGCTTGTCGCTGAGAACAGGGCCATAGGTATACCTGCGTGTTACTTCTAAAGCCAAGTGAGCGGTAACAGAAAGTTCATTACTCAATCGACGATAATGCTCAATGTAAGAAGTATTCCTCAACAGGAAATCGGCAATATCAGAAATCAGAAAATCTTTACGGTATCGCAGAATACCGTCGATGATCTTAGCATCAAGCGATCTACCCATCGCAATGTTACGGCGATCTTCGCCGTCGTCTATGTACAGGCGGGACGGATCCACAAACTGGGTAATCGATCATTACCTGGTGGTAAATGATTCCCTCGATCTTGAAAAAAGAGAGACCACTGGGATGATGACGATACCCACCTGACACTTCGAGGCCGCAGAAAGCAAACGGGTTAGTTTAGTATTTTACAGGAAGTGACGATCAAATAAAATAATATATATAACAAATTACAGGAAGTGACGATCAAATAAAATAATATATAGAACAAATGCGTTCTTGCGAAGGAGGAAGATGAAGAACATTGAAGGTTCCCTCGTGCCTGACAATGACGACATCTGTAAAGGTCGTCCACCCAGAGAACTGACCTTTTCTAAAGAGTTCGGTTTTGTTGGATTGGACCATTTGTCTCTACTGACTGAGCCAATTTTGGAGCAGGCAGATACTATAACATATGATATTTATCAGGTTAAAATTTCAAAATAAACACTATTTTTATTCTATTTTATTATTTCTTTGTTTTTGTTGTTTTCACACGATGAATGTTCTCTTGAGGTAAACCCACATATTCTAGAACTAAATTGTGTTATTTGATTTTGCCAGTTGTATCAGTTTGTAGGCTTTTCTGAAAAATCTTAAATATATATCCAAAATAATGTTTGCATGTTTCAACGTAGGTTTTATGAACCATTTATTTGTTATCCAAATATTCATTTGTTAAGTTATTACGTTTTATAATTGATTAGATATAGACCAATAGAATTGACTTTGATTGTCAGAACTAATAATTAGACAACTAATTTAACAAAATTGTTTATGGTGATATTGTTAATTATGTTAAGTTTATATTCATAATAATAAAAATAGCAAACGTTTAGTGCTTTTAAGTAAAATTAGAATAACATATTCATGTATATGTTATTAGACTTGAACGTATTAGCGTATTCCCTCTATGGTAAAATCGCTGAAAAGAAAGATGAACCTGTGATAACATTAATTAAAGGCTTTTAGACAATATACCAACATATGTCTACTTTTATAAAAGTTGTATGCTGTTTCTTTCAATATATCACAGTTATTTGGAAACGTACCAAAAAATCATAATTCTGTGAACCATCTTGTAATGGAAATATCGTTGAGAAGAGAAAGTACAAGATGAATCACCAGATTATGTTTCAATTTTACAAATGGCGCAGTTATCGCTTGTGTTATAAATAATATTTATCGCCTCTTCATCCTGCCCTTACTGATCATATTGTCACGAAATATTCAAGTCTTTCCCATTTACACCCTTCTTTAGCATTTTACACATTTACATCTAGAAAAAAAGCGAATTTGCATGACGTTTCTGAATATCAAATTTGATTCCTTCCTCTTGTGAATGTATTTAAACGTAAGTAAATAAATGTATGTATTTATTTTTCAATACTCTCTCTCTAATATTATGTTATCTGGGTTGTTTATATTGCGCGTTCCAGCTTCGGCAGAATTTCTGTACTATAATTGTAATGTTTTCAATATTACCTAACCTTAGGACATAATCTGATCATAGATACCAAAATGATGTGAAAAGTTATTTACTTATCATGATAAAACTATCCGCAACATTATTTTTGGTCAGACAAACTTATCATCGCAGAAAATAAACTTAAAAACAAAGACTTTATATAAATGTACTAAATGAAGAACACAAAGTGAACCAGTAAAAGTGTACATTATCATTCGTAATAGTAGCGATAATGTAAGATACATTATACCATAAATAAAAACATACTTCCTTGGAATTCCACTTAACAATTCTGTAGGATGTTTGTATAACTTGTTTTCAATTTAAACACAAACAAATTTACGAACAATTAAAATTTCTTGTGGTATTAATCGTGCAATCCCTCACATCCTGGTTTACATGTGACCGTAAAAGTTTGCCCGAAATAAGTTTTGGAACATATTTAAGAGAGTCCAGTTAAGGTTAAGTGTTGCAGAACTAATTTCAACAACATTGCGAGTTACAAGATCCTCTAGGGAGTCGTCATCGTACAAGACAAGTCTTGTAGTAGCTTGTTGTGCTACAACTTATTGTGTGTTA